GTCTGGAAGTGACTAGAGGCTTTGGTGAAGGCTCTAAGGTCAGAATCTTCAAAGTGACAGGTCCAGTGGCATAGGCTGTAAATATTTGAAGGTTTTACAGCCTTTGAATTTTGATTTAGTTTTTGAGGTTAGAGACCTCAGAATGGGCTCAAATTTGGAGGGTTGCCTCTAGAGACATGTCCCATCAGTATGCAACTGACAGACTCTGAATCAGAGATCATTTGATTGGTTTTTGAAGTGTTTGAAAATTTGCTGAAAAAGGCTTTTAGGACTTGCCCTTTTAGCCTTGAATTTTGGTTTGGATTTCTAAGATCTGGATAGATCCTAAGGTCTGGATCTAGGAGAATCCTAGAGTTTAGATTGATTTGGGAATTGAATTAATTTAGGGGCAAGATTTGTCCAAATGACCTCATACAAAAATGAGGTCAACAGGCATTTAACGACCACTTGGCACGTTCGATGAGCAGCTGTGCAAAAAATTCGGGAAGAGGTCGCTTTGACGCCACATGCATAATAACTCGGCGGGATTCTTGTGGGATTTGTGGAGATTTGAGCGGCATTTTGATGGATATGAGGTTTATTTTCTATCCTTTTTTGTTCTTTACATAGAGGTCAACAAAGTGCAACTTCATATGTCATCCATATTGAATACCTCTCCATAATATGGAGGAAAACCTATAATCTTGAATAAATATAACCACCTTCGACACACCATGTAATCTGATAATATCTTTGATAGATATCAATAGTAATCAGTCAATTAGATTAATCCACGAATTTAAAAAAAATGAGCAGGCTTTGTTAGTCGATAAACAACAATCCAGATAGCATCATACCTCTTCCTCGATATGGGAAAATCAATAATAAAATCCATCATCACCTCTTCCAAATTCTACTCTAGAATAAGTAATGAATACAGAAGATTGCATGGTGGGTGATGCTCCACCTTCACAAATTGATAGGCCTCAAAGTGTTTGCCAACATATTATCCTTACTAGGCTTAAACTAAATAGTCAGATCATAGTCTTTGATTATCTAAAGCTATCTCATTTACCTCAAATTTAGATCATTCTGAGTGAATATATACTTCAAACTTTGATGATTGATAAAACAAAACTTGCACTTGACACCATACATATAGTATCTCGAAATCTTTAAAGTAAAAACTACAACAACAAGTTTCAAATCATACATTAGATACCTCTTCTTATGGAGCTTCAATTGTTTGAAAGCTTAAGTTATAACTTGACCATATTACATCAATATGAGTCCCAAG